TATATATATATATATATATATATATATATATATATATTTGCATATGTTTTCCCAAGCTCAGAGGGGACTGTAAGCCTGTATACCTGAGTGCAGACCAGATTTTTAGTAAATAATGGAAGCAGTCATCCAGATACTTGAGATAAAAATAATATACAGTATAGCTACACTTATTGAATGCATTTTACAAATACATGTTTTGTTGAATTATATATATATATATATATTTTTTTTTCCTCGAAAACAAAAATTAAGGAACAATTAAATTGTCTTGCTCAAAGTGAAACAGCCAGTAAGTAGCTCAGTGCGGCCAAACTTTAAATTCAGGCTCAAGCCCTGTTTGTATCCTACCCACCAAACCCCACTGCCTCCATATTTAACTTTTTAAATAACTGGATCTTAATCCCAAGAATAAACTTGCTATTCTACTTGAGGAGGAGGCTCGGATGGTAAGTAGCCTATTCTCTTTTACACCAATACAGCTTTAGAAAGGAATTCATGTTAAATATCAGTGGGGACAAATATCCAATTAGAAAGGCTGTTTTGGGTAGAAGCCTACTTATCATTCATGGTGCTTTATTATAGAGAAATGTTTCCACATTCCGCTCTGCTGTCTGACCTAAATCATGTGTTTTCCTGTATGTTTTTTATTGTTGCTTTTAAAAAACTTGTACGTTATTCGTAAAAACTTTATGAATAGTAGTTTTTAGAGATGAGGTTTAAAATCTGACTTCCTGTAAGACAGTCATTAGGACTTCAGCCAGAAAAATTACACGGTATTTTCTTCTCAAGCAAAAGAAACCAAACCACTCCTTTACTGCATGCCCCTCATCTGTGTCTAGGAAACCTAGAGGCAACACCACCAAATTGAAGCTGGCTTGTGGCTTTTGCTCTGCCACTCACACAATGATCAAGGGAACACTTAAGAGCATCTCTTCGAAGCTCAGCATAATTTTGGGCACAGGCGCAGAGGCCGACCACCATAGGAGGCTAATGTTGCATTATGAAATGATGGCTTTAGAGTAACTCGATCTGCCCTTCTTCCCATGCAGGCTTCTCCACACTGTCCCTGGCGGACCAGATGAGCCTCCTGCAGAGTGCGTGGATGGAAATTTTGATCCTGGGTGTCGTATACCGATCTCTTTCATTTGAGGATGAACTTGTCTATGCAGACGATTATATAATGGATGAAGACCAGTCCAAATTAGCCGGCCTTCTTGACCTCAATAATGCCATCCTGCAGCTGGTAAAGAAATACAAAAGCATGAAGCTGGAGAAAGAAGAATTTGTCACCCTCAAAGCGATCGCTCTTGCTAATTCAGGTTGGCATATTGACATGGTTGCTGTTACATTTTCTAATGTGTCACTTTTCACCCTTTCCCTTAACTTCTTCAGAGATTTGCTAGACCTAGTTGAAAATTCCATAAGAATCAGCAAAATTAGAATCATTATAGCTTTCTAGTGAGAAGTTAGAAATAAGAAAAATCAACTTAAAGGGGATTATTTCTATTGTATTGGCCTATTGAAAGCTGGGGAACTTTTACACCTAGTGCATTTACAAATTTGTAGTGTAAATGGATTTTCTCTGGGCAGAATTACCTCCATTGTCTTGTGTGCACAAGTGAAAAAGAAAATGAATTACAAACACACACAAACCATTTTCCCCCTCAAAAACATGCAAATGTTGTAACTGGCAAACTATGTTTAGTGCTGTTTTTAATTTTGGTTATCAAAGAATGCTCTGTTTTCTTACCTTCTGGAATTCTCTAGAAGTCAGAGTCTGCTGAGGGAGTAGTTCCCTCAGAGGTATTACTTAGGCAGTCAGGCTTCAGAATTATGGGAATAAACAGTCTTTACATTTGAACTGAAACGTACTAAAATAGGGAGCAACCTCTGATAAGTAAAAATCGTTGGCGCTTTGTTGTTTTCCCCTTTGTGCCTCTCCGCATGCTTTATTGTGGTCTTAAGTCTGTTTCAGCATTTGCATCAAGTTATGGATAGATCCCTCCTTAATGACGTGCCGATCATTAGATACCTGCGTGTCAATAACATGCTCTGATGCTACTGCCATTGACAGTCACACCGTGCCCCTCCATCTGCTTTTGTTTTGACCCTATCTTTGAACTTTATCTTGGTTGCCGGCCAGTAGTTTTCCCTTTAATTACAAGAAGGAAACTGTCAATAAAATCTGTTAAAGGGGTGCAATGAGTGGCTTGAATGGGCGGACGGCTATTTGTTCAAATTCTGCAGCATTCAAGGTATTGACAGTTTGTTTTCTGGGGCCATATGTGACGATCAATCTCAGGCTGGGCTCAGCCGCGCTGAAAAATGAAAAACCAGATTGCTTTTGCTTAGTTGTGGATGACGACGTTGTGATTTGGCGCAGTCCTAGTGAGATGAGACCTTCTGCCCAAATTGCCCCCATGAGAGCCAGGGATGCGTGACTGTTTTTAGAAATAATTTTTAATTGATTTTGTAATTAACAGTTCATCTACAATATTGATGCATGCATCCTTGGACGGATAGGAGGGAAATGGTTTTCAACCATAAGTTGTACTTTTCCTATTTGTCTTTTTAATGGAGGTTAGCTTTTCCGACTTTTAATTGTGTGAAATTACCCTTCTTCCTTACCCCGCCATTTACTTCGCTTCTCCTACTCCCGTGAAACTGTAAAATATGACTCAGGATGACACATGGCCTTGTTGTTACAAACCCTCACGAACACCTTGTCCTGCTCCCCAGAAAACCAAAGTGGGAGATGGGATCGAACTTTTCTGAGGATTTATTAGTTTGCACAGACTTCACATTAAAGCATCTCTCATAATTAGATGAAAGATTTGGGGAAGAATTTGTATTTGGTAATCATACAGTAATTCAAATTTAAAACATTTACATGGTTAATTATTGATAAAGGACACCAACCATGTTTCATATCTTTTCTGTTTCAGATTGCTTTTTTTTTATTATTATTAACTAATCATAAATACTGAGCACTGCTAAAATTTTATCATCCAAATTGCTAAAATTGTGTAGTTTTAGATGTTAGATGCTCACTTCCTGGCTATCGGTTACAATTTAGAGTGCCTTGAATTAATTAGTAGCAGCATTTCTGTCTCTGCTGTTTGGAAGTATAATCATTAATATTTTGATAAATATTCGAATCCCACGTACTCTTCTGTTAGGGGGAGGGGTGACCTACTTTAAAGCAGTGAGTAGGGATCAGAGAGTATTTAAAGAACTAGTTAATTTTTCTTGGGTAAAGCCAGAAATAGTTAACAAGCCCTCCCTGTTTTCTGTACCATAGTATTTAGTATTACTTTTTCTCAGAAAATTTCTTCATGTAAAACACAAATTTTCTGCAAGTTATTTTAACAGTCCTTGAGCCTCTGAATACCAAGAAAAATGAATTGAATCAGCGTCCATAATAAATGAGAAATGATTACTAAATACTATGAGGACCTTTTTAATATTCTAAGTTGTGCCACCTCCCCTGTGTTGTACAAATATGGCCTTTCTCTTACCCACCCAACCTGTGAGCCCCACCATTTTATTGTGGGATAAATTACTCAGAAAATCATTTTCTTTGATACTGTCAATATGAAGCCATCTCATTCTGTTTCTTACCATTATTTGGAGGACAGTGATAAAGTTGTAGATTCGATCTTGCCTAGATCCAGTGATTCTTAAGTTGCTCATAAATACATCAATATGAAAATGCTTTAATAATTTTCAGACACCCTAAAGAGCTCATAGGTCTTCTTTTAGTATTTCCAAATTTTGGGTCAACATAAGTGACTTTTTATGCACAGAGAAAACAAAAGCAAAAAAGAACAATTATTTCAGCTCTATTTATAGGTCTCTTAGCATTCTCTGTATAGTTTAGGTGTTAACAGCCATTGTCTCATTAATCTAAATTTCAGCTTATTTTAAACATCTGAAAAAAAATCCAATTATAAATGTTGTGCTTATGCTTGGGAAACAGGGAATTGGCTTCCTGATAATGGCTGTCATATTTTTTGTAGCTATGTTTCTGTCATATCGGAATTCGGGAATACTTATAATACCAAAGCACCAGTGGAAATATAAACCTTATCTATCTCCAGCTATATGAGATATATAAAATTATGTATATATAAATATATAAATATAAATATAAATATACACACACAGATATTAAACCTAATATTGTATTTCTTACATTCAAATTTTTGGAAACCCTAAATAATTGCTCCAGTTATTTTTGAAGGTAAGGAAACTCACTTAAACTACATAGTCTCTTATTTCTGAGCGCCAACAACCTCTTGAGCAATGGCTGTATCCCTGATACATCTTTGTGGGATCAAATTTAAAATGGAACATCTAGGTCACCGTTTGAACCATTGTAATTGTTAGGCTCCAGTTTTCTCATGTGCACATCAAAAGCATAGATGGATCCCTAGATTTTTTTTTCCATATGGGGAATCCTATGAATCTGTAATTAATTTTATGTTTTTATTGGAAAATACAAGGAAATATGACTACAAGCATTTGGGGTAGGATTATGTCATGCAATTCTATTCTCTCGATTGGTCCTATTGATTCTTATGTCTAAGAATTTGTTTGGAGCTATTATCACTGGCCCCAAGGTAATATACTCATTTTTATATAGTGGAAGATTAAAGCAGTTTAGGGTTTTACTTCCACGCAGTACTTCTGGAATAATAGCATCTATTGATAAAAGCTGCAGGTAATGTTTTGGTCATCAATTTTAATTCATAAGTAATCATAACCACCTCATGACAATATTTTGTTCTTGAGGACAAATGGTGAATGTTGAGAATTGTGGTGGAATTTCAAGGATAGGAAATTTATGATTCCTGTAGGAGACTGCAATGGGGAGGCATATATAATCAGAAAATTTGGACTTTCATATAGGTTTGGACTAGTGTTTCTCAGTCTTTTTTCATTATAACCTTTTAGATAGTCTTTTAAATGTTTTCCCTGATGAAATATTAATATCACAAATATACTATGTATCTGTTTATATACTGTGTATACACACACACACACACACACACACACATTTTACTTAAGAAGAGAGATTTTTTTCTACTCTTCAATTCTAAATTTCATCTAATTTGCAAATGCGTGGTTTAGCCATGTAACTGTTTTCTTCTCTGTATAACAAGGTGGGTAAATGAAATAATATCTACTATAGCATAACTGGCCTAAAATTTTTGTGCCAGTCACTTTTCAGTGAGGGCAGTACGTTTGCTCATATATTTGGTGTGTGGTGTGTATTTGTGATGAATTCAAAGTGTAGAAATAGTAACATCTGAACACCTGGTGTAAAAATGAAAAACCTTTTCAGTTCTTTAGAATCTACAAAAGGGGACCCTCACACAGTTTTACTGAGACTTTGACTAAATTGGCTGACTCAATATTCGGGAGATTGTTGTAGCTATTGGTCAAGAGAGTATCCTTTTTTTAGAATCTTTCCGGAGACTTTTGAAAAATTTTTATATTTTATTTATTTATTTACTTATTTATTTAATTGTATTTTTAGCCGTCTCTTGGGAATCTCATTTGATTTCCAAACTGTGTCTGTGAGGTGGATATGTCCAATGCCATTTTACAGGTAATTGAAGTGAGCTGATAAGAGATGTATAGCTACTTTGAGGCAGAGGGTTGGACCGCCTGTCCCTTGCTCTCAATAAGCTATTTCTATTCCACAAATAAGTATATGCCATGCCTTTAAAAGTGTCCATGCAGAAGACTTTAGTCATTGCAATTTCACATCTGCCAACCTCAATTGGTATTTTTAATGTAGTTTACTAGAATTTTGTGCCCACTTCCTTTATCTTGCTGTCTTCTTGGTGTTCTAGTGGTATACCACCACCCAGAAACATGCCAGTAATTGGAAACAAGATGTTTACCATATTATAGTATATTTTAAGAAATAAATATGGGTAGGTCTTTTGTGTCAGGTTGATATTTATTCTCGACTTCTACCCAGACCAAACCATAATTAACACTATCAGGTAAATAAGAAATCGAAACTGCCTTTCCATCTCCTAGTCTGCTTTTCTTTGGTTTTTGCTCAAATCTGCCCTCACTATTTGGGTAATTTATTTAAATTGATATATTAAGGTTGTTTTTTAAGTTTAATGCAACCCTTCCATTTGATACAAATTATGATAGTTCAAATTTGTACATAAAAAGTAAATCCTGGTTCTTCAATGTTTCTTATCATGGGGCATAGTATAGGAAAGATTTGCTTCAAGTATATCTATGCTTCCAACCTACATAATAAGCGTATAAACTACTTAGCAATTGCATTACT